TTAGGTACCAGAGTAACACTGTCAAATTTGGATAGGAAATCCTAGCCAAGCAGAACATTCTCACTACTGTTTTCCAACACATGGAAAGTACACTCGTAGATACTACCATCAATACGGACACACGTATTAGCTGTACCGATAGCATCTAATGACTCGCCAGATAAGCTCGACTTCGTTTCCTGTCTGGACACACCACTAGGAAAAGCCTCCTCCAACGAGCTAACACTAATGCATGACACACCTGAATCGATGACTGCTTGCGTACTGAGCCTACCAATTTCCACAATTTGGATGGTGAAACAGAAGGTTTTACGACATTCACTCTCTACGACAGAATCGTGCAATGTGACCTCGTATACCATACTGGTAACACTTTCTCTCAACATGCGTACCTCTCCTGGAACTCGCTGCACCACCTGACCCAAAGGACACAAAACACCCGAATGTGTACCCACCTGACTAGAGGCTAAGCGTAATTTAGTACGACACTCTTACTCCTTATGACCAAGTTTTTTGCAAAACGAACACTTAATACGAAAAGCTGCAGAATTATCAGAATTATCAGTATCTTGCAGGCGACGAGTCATGTCTACAAGACTTTCAAATTTGGGCAGTTTTGCTTGCTGACAAACAATGACCTGTAAATGATCCTTAACAGATTTGGAATGCAGAGCATCATAGAAACACTGAGAACATAGTTCTTCCTTATTTGATTTAGCAAATGAAGGATAAACCTCGTCTACTTTTAAAGACAAACGATGCGCAAATTCATCAATTGTTTCAGAAACCTCGTTGCGATCGAAATGCTCTCTCTTAACAAGATATTGCTGCGGGGCACCTTCATATCCCACTGTCCCAAGTTTCACAAATTTAACATGATAAATCTCGACGAGATCTGAAACGGTTAAATTGATATTATTTCCCTGCATGAAATTTCCCGGTATTTGAAAATAAAATATGTAGAGTTTGGAGGTTTGAATGCTGTCAGTTTTAGAGCAAATATTTAAATTATAAGTGTGGAGCAAACACTTTATAATTCCTAATATATTACAATCCTTTCAGATTGTGCATGTACCTGTGCTTATGATACACCGTGAAGGTCCGGGTTAGAATGAACCTTCAGTAACTCATGCTTGTCGTAAGAGGCGACTAACGGGATAGGTTGACACATGTCATCGGTTCCCAATTGTGCAGATCGATGCTAATGTTATTGATCACTGGATTGTCTGGTCCAATTTTGATTATTTACAGACCGCCGACATATAGATGAGTGCGGTGTAAAACTAAACTCACTCACTCTCTTTGTTTATGGTGGATGGTATTGCTATTTGCTTCCTGTTGTAGATGGCACACAAACCTCAGCTGCGACAACTACCGGGGTACCTCTTCCTACAGCTACAAAACCCAAAACTGACCAAAGTAATGCCATTCATTATTACAAAGTATTAAAATATTTTGAGAAAAAATCTCGATCCATTTTATTTTCTTTAAATAAATGTGTGTCTCCTCTTTAATATTTCGTGTGTTTTTTTTCATAAACCATTTGTAACAGTTCAAGGTCGAAGGACAAACATGATTTTTCTTAAACCAGTATCTCCTGCGACATTAAACTCTATTGGACAAAAGAATTCACAACACACATGGGAAACATGGTTTCAGCTAGTTACTGACAGCCAGGAAATAGATCAGTTTGGAAACTGAAGTGGGATTTTATATTTCAGGCGTTACTACGGTCGTCCTTTACGTTATCGTCGGGTGTTGTGTCTTGTTTATTGTGCTGACTGTGTTCATCGTTGCTGCTATTGTCTTGATAAGGATCAAACAACAAGGTAACCTTATGTATTGCGTTCATAAAACCTGATTACTATTGAAGTGAGTGAGTGAGTGAGTGAGAGTGAGTGAGAAATAGTGAGTGAGTGAGAGATAATGAGTGGAGTGAGTGAGCAAGGACGGGAAGTGAGCGAGTGAGAGAGAGAGATGAGCGAGAGAGTGAGGAGTGAGACATGAGGACGTGAGTGGAGGAGCGAATGAGGAGTGAGTGAGACATGAGTGAGTGACCGGAGTGAAACCGTGCGAGAGAGAGAGAGTGAGACCACAGAGAGAGACGAGTGAGTGAGAGGGGAGTGAGGAAAGGAACGAGTGAGAGAGAACCGAGTGGAGGAGGAGCGAGAGAGAACGTGAGAGAGTGGAGGAGGAGTGCTGGACCGGAGTGACCGAGTGACCGAGAGGAAAAGGAGACGAGGAGACGAACGAGTGAGTGAGAGAGTGAGTGAGGACACAGTGAGTGGAGGAATGGAGGAGGAAAGGAATGAGACAACACAACCCAGGAAGGAGCGGAGACCGGTGAGGAAAGAGACGACGGAGGACAGGAGACAGAGAAGGAAGAGTGGAACGGAGAGACAGAGGCACCGAGTGAGGAGGAACGGACCGAAGAGAAGGAGGAGGAGTGAAGGAGACCGAGACCGAGAACGACCGAGAGGAACGAGGAACGAGACAAGGAGAGGACCGAGGAACGGACCGAGACAACGAGTGGAGTGAGAGGACACGGAGGAGGAGTGGAGTGAGTGGAGTGAGTGAGGAAAGGACCGAGACCGAGAACGAGAAGAGACGACCAAGACAACGAGAAAGGAAAGACGAGAGAGGAGAGACCGAGACAACTGAGTGGAAGTGAGTGAGAGGAACGGAAAGAGGAGACCGGAGGTGAGGAGGCAAGAGACACAGGAGGAGAGTGAGACTGAGTGAGTGAGTGGAGTGGACGGAGTGAGAGGAGCCAAGGAGGAGAGTGGAGGAAGGAGTGGAGGAGGAGGAAAGGAGTGGAATGAGAGGAGAGATGGAGTGGAGGAAAGGGAAGAGGAGGAATGGAGGAGTGGAGGAGTGGAAGAGGAGAGAAGGAGGACAGAAGGAATGGAGGGAGGAATGGAGTGAGTGGAGGAGGAGAGGAAGTGAGGAAAGGAGTGGAGGAGAAGGAGGAAGTGAGGAAAGGGAGGAGAAAGGAGTGGAGTGAGAGTGGAGGAGTGAAGGAGGATGGAGGAGTGGAGGAAGGAGGAGTGGAGGAGTGGAGTGGAGGAGTGAGGAGTGGAGTGGAGAGAGTGGAGGAGGAGATGGAGGAGTGGAGTGGAGGAAAGGAGTGAGTGAGGAGTGGAATGGAAAGGAGTGAGGAAAGGAGTGAGAGGTGAGGAAATGGAGGGTGGAGTGGAATGGAGTGGAGGAGTGGAGGAGTGGAGGAGTGAGTGGAGGAAAGAGGAAAGGACAGGACCAGTGACCTTGTGGATGGCCCTTTATGGACCACAAACAGGAAAGGAAAATGAGAAGCCAGGAATCTTGGAAGCAATGGACACAGATACAACTTTAATCCCCATAGTGGAAGGACATGGACATGGATTTAAGATGAAATGACATATATCAATAGATAAAATGAGGAAAGGTAACTGGACATAAATATAAGATACATCCTTCTTGAAGACTATGTAATACAAGCAATGCAATATGAAGCGGAAGGCTAATATCAATTAGAAAATACGTACCGTAAAGGGGTGCGTGAGTGGGTTCAAATTTAACGTCCATTTGGGGATATTTCCGACGCGTATTGCAACAAAAAATATCAGTTGATCGATAAATATTCCACCTAAGTCGTGAGATATATTTGTAATATAAGAAAAGATAAATTTGCTATGTTCTGGTTCCTTTGAAACAGTAATGACCAGTGCGGTTTCACATCTTTTTAAATTAATTGTGACAATTTCAATGCATCATTGTGAGTTTCGCTTCCCTTACAGTTGGTTATAAATACAGCTTTGTTGTCTGATTATTGTTTGACGCGTCTTATGACCAAGCCATGTAGTTTCGAATTGGATAAGTCACAGAGGATGTACAATCCTATTTCTTAACCGAAACAGTTACTTGTTGTTATTAATGTTATATACTTGTAAAATCGGTTACATTGTACAGTGTTCTCATTAAAATTGTTTTTCTTTTTGTTAAATCGCGATAATTGCATGCATCGATCTATCTATTCATCCATCCATCCATCCATCCATCCATCCATCATTCCATGCATATAGACAGACAGACATGTACATATAGGTTTGTATGTGTTATATTTACATACTGACCAATACTTTCCATATGTACTGCTTTCCACCGATTCATCGGAAATATTCTGTTCCTGAAAGCAAGCTATTTGTTGTTCTGTTTCAACAGTATCAGTGTGTCAGTATTGCAAAGTTTATGTTACAGAAATACACACACGTGCACAAGTACTAATCCACATCTACATTCACTCACACACACACACACGCATACACACACACATACATTCACGTGCATACATACTAGGGCATAAATAGACGCGCATACATACTAGGGCATAATGTAGATGTGGAGAGACGCTCATAACACAATGCTGAATTAAGTTGGCTTTTAAGACACACACTTTGCCTTCCTTGTTTCTGAATCGCATTGAGATTGGAAAATAATCGTTGACTTTTAAATCACAATCCTTCCTTCATAGTACGTATAAACGGACATTTACGAGGCGCCGTAATTAGCGCAGTGACATACATATGCGTTGTTTGTAGTCTATTGCATTTAGTATGATTTGCGATGGATCAAACTATTTTAACGTTAGTTATACAATTGTTACAATCACAAACATTGGTAACATGAACAATAAATCAATGAATTAACTTGAAGATTTTATCAAAACTCGTCTTTCCATAACCAGGTTCAGCATGTGTGAAACATAATACCTCCTGTCATAGTTGTCCCTGCCCTCATACACTGACGATTTGCCATTACAAACCGGACGAATTCCTTACAAATCACTGACTAATTCGTTTCAGGTTATTTGTGAAATATTTTTTTGGGCGTTCTTGTCCTAGTGTAACTGTTTTCTGACAGCACAGCTAGCAAGGGGGCGGTGGGTAGCCTAGTGGTTAAACCATTCGCTCGTCGCGCCGAAGGCCCGGGTTCGACTCCCCATATGGGTACAATGTGTGAAGCCCATTTCTGGTGTAGTACGGGCGAACGCCACTGAACATTTCATTTCCATTTGAAACGGTGTCTCCCTTATTGACATCGATGGCGGAAGTTTGAAAATGGGAAACTTGTTAACATATTTCAATTACAAAAACACATCTGTGATACACTAAGCTATCCCGACGTGGGCGATGGGTTAGATTCAATTCAGCGGCACTTATAACCATTTTAGCCCTCGCAACAGTTCCTTGGTTTGCGCACTTCCGAAGTTGTATATATTCATGCGTTGTGAGTTTTTATATTCATAATAATGCATTCTTTCATAACATATATTGCTGGAATACCAGCTTTAAACCCAACTCACCCACTCACAAATAGTGGGCAAGAAGCCTTAATTGTTTGTTGAGATGTACACTTCATATCGTAAACGTTTGTTTGATAAGGTACCAATGACATTTAGTTGGATATGTGTAGTTGCATCTGTTCATTTTTCCAATCAATCAGAAGATAGGTAGCCATGTGGCTAAAGCGTTGGCTCATCGCTGCGAAGGTTTGATTCGTCCATGAGTACAATATGTAAAATATGAGTGCCCTCCTCCTTAAACAGTGCTAACAGCACCATAAAACTCACAATTATATATTGTATTTTCAAGAAAAATGAAATGAGTTAATTACCTTGGTTACTGTCTGGTTGAATCCACAAACAGAATTTTTGTTAAAGTTGTAGGTATTGTATGGACCTGATGAAATACAGGACAATGCTTTTTTTTATGATATAAACTGTTGCCTTACTTTTTTTAATCAGTATATTAACAACATATCTCTTAAAGTTTATGTCCATACACAACATAAATATGAAAATAAAAAAATGAAAGTTTTTGTGATGAATTACCTTATTGCTGACTGTGACTGGTTGAAACCATTGACAGATTATTTGATACTGTGTTGCACTGGTATTGCTTGGGGCTGCTGAAATACAGGACAGTTATTATTTTTCTAGTGTTTTTTAAATAAATTGTTGCGTTATTAATCTTTATCAGTACATGAGCAGCATGTCTTGCATATTTTGTGGCCATGTTTTACACTTCGTACTTTTTTATGTTTTTTTGTGTGTGTTTCCAGTGTTGATATATATCCGTTAAATAGATCCACTCAACTACAGGAATCTTTTCCCCTAAGTGACAATGTGGTGAAAATTTATTTTGTGTATCTCGCTACTGCTTGCCTCCTAGCAATTGTCAGTTTGCATTTTGAGCTAAGAGTCTTAACAGTAGTTAGAATTAAATCTATTGTCACATACATCTATTTCTCTGAAGACTATTATCCATAACTGTACATTTTAATGTTTTATGTATCTCACTTCGTTTTTGTGGACTAGAAATGTCAACAGGCTAGTTTATAAGTTTCTACAGTCCTGTACACTAAGATATTTGCATATCATCTTCAGTTTGTATTCTTATTGGTGTGTCACTCTTTACCTGTTAAAGATCTGTGAGCACTGGTGCTTAAAAATTCAGAAGAAAATTAAAATTTAAGTTGTTATTTGCTGTTTGTTTATTCTACAAGATGGCGAGTTATATGCTTCGATATTGGTTGTGTTTCTTCCTGAGCTGGAATCAGACACAGTCCTATTGCAGTGTGCCATTGTGTATTTAAAGTATGAAGGTTGAATGTGTGTGTGTGTGTGTGTGTGTGTGTGTGTGTGTGTGTGTGTGTGTGTGTGTGTGTGTGTGTGTGTGTGTGTGTGTTTGTGTGTGTTGGGGGGTGGGAGGGTGTGGGGCACACGTGTCTTCAGCGTGATGGGCGAACGCTTTTACTGCCAGGCTACCCCACCGTCAAGTGATCAACAACATGAGTGTCGATCTGCGCACTTGTCATGTGTCAGCCAAGTCAGCCAAGTAACCTGATCCTGGTAGTCGCCTCTTACGACAAGCATGGGACAGGGAGCGTCCGAAAATCTGGGAATTCTTTCACTTCCTCCAAACGCTGTTTAGAGTCTCATACGCAGTTTGTCTCCTGGAGTGAATGCATTGTTGACACATGGAAACAGTATTCCGCAGTACTGATCAACAATCACCAGTTTGTTATTCAGTGTTATACCTCTTGTTCTCCAAGATCTTTGACCCGTGAAGATCCGGGTTAGAATTGATCTTCAGCAACCCATGCTTGTCGTAAGAATCGACGGGATCGGGTGGTCAGGCTCGCTGACTTGGTTGACGCACATCACTGGATTGTCTGGTCTCGAATTCATTATTTACAGACGGCCGCCATATAGCTGGAATATTGCTGAGTGTGGCGTACAACTAAACTCACTCACTCTCTCACTATGTTTTCAAATTTAGAAATAATTTTAAGAATGCACAATTTCGTTTTGTTGCTTTTGAAGATTGTTAGGATTTACAGATGCGTGGGTTAAACATGAATCTGTATTATGCAAATTGTGCGAGTGGAGGTGCTACTAAAGGGCAGGGAGACTTAAACCTTTCTCGAACACTCGGTGTTATCACTGACACTGGCATTGGGTTTCACTGACCCATTAATATACTTTTGTCTGCTACTTTACCTTTTATGCCTACCCGTGAAGGTCTGGGTTAGAATATTGATCTTCAGTAACCCATGCTTGTCGTCAGAGGCGACTAGCGGCATCGGGTGGTGAGGCTCGCTGACTTGGTTGACACATGTCATCGATTCCAAATTGCGCGGATCGATGCTCATACTGGTGATCACTGGATTGTCTGGACCAGACTCGATTATTGACAGACCGCCGCCATATAGCTGGAATATTGCTGAGTGTGGCGTAAAATTAAACTTACTCACTCACTCACTCACTCACCTTATATGCCAAACAGACAATCGATACCATGTATTGTCTGGCGTTGACGGCATAGATTAAAATGCATTTGAAGTTTCCTTTCTGTATTTAATCTTATTACATATTACCTCAAATGTTACCTCAATTGTCTGTTTTAAGATATAACCTTAACCCAGTTGAAAAAGGCGTGACCATTCACAAATGGACTTTCATAATTTCATTATTCAGCTGAATTTGTTGAAGAAGACATGTCAGACGCGACTGTTATGTATATCAGTGAATGAGGGAGCGAGTTTGGTTTTACGCCACTTGTAGCAATATTCCAGCAATATCACGACGGGGACACCTGACATGGGTTTCACACAATGTACCAATGTGGGGAATCGAACTGGGTCATCGGCGTGAACAGCGAACGCTTTAACCACTAGGTTACCCCATCTCCACGTTATATACATGTATAATTAAAACATTCATGACGGAAGATACTATTGAGAGGAAACTTTCGTAAGTATTTCATGTTACCGTACTGTAATAATAAAAGGTCATAATTCTAAATTCATGTTTTGATTTTAGTGACTCTGATGATGTAAAGGAGTGCATGCCCCTTTTGGATTAGGGGTGCCCCTTTAGAAAGTCTGTCACCCTGTGCCTTTTGGATCCTGTGGGAAAAACTAGGTGACAAACGGCATGTTTTCTTTCACCATTCATCGCTTCTATAATTCACAATAGATGTTAAAATATTGCTGACAAACTCATTCACTCTGACCTTGCCCAAAGGAGAGTTAAAAATGACGTTTCACAATATCTCACCGCAAACAATTTCTTCTCTTTATTTCCTCCTGCAGATTGTGTGGCGTGTTACGCTGTAGACAGCAATACAGTCATAACAACCTTGTAATAATCGAAGTTAACCTGGCGACGTAAGCAACACCCCAGACAGTGAGGACATACATAGATACATGCACGCATGCATGCACACGCGCTCGCGCGCGCACACACACATACCTACCTACGTACGGGAACGGAAGAATGAACTAAGGAAATACAGACTTTTTGAGGACAATTATGAAACAGATAAATATGTACGATGTCCACTGCCAAGAGGAAATTTTGATGTGGAGTGGCCTCAGTTAGAGCAGAGACTGGAAGATACGAAAAGCTGCCATACAACGAGGTACTTTCTTTTGTCTGTCCTAAACAACTGGAGGAGGAATTCCATGGCCTGTTTTACTGACCCGTCTACACCACCATTCCGTTCCGCCGTGTTCAAGCAAAATACCGCATTTTAATACTCTATTTTATGAAGAAATCTTTTCTTATATTCTTAATTCTCATGCCTTAATTATTATCGTCTCCCAAACCTGCCATCATAGTTTAACAAAACGTTGTGATTTTTTTATATTTATATATATATTTTATTCCGTCTTGTGCTGTTGTGACATGTAAATATTCATGCCATGTGTTTATATATTGTATTATGTAATATTGTCTCTCATAATTCGCTGAGCAACTAGTCGTAGTACATCTAACTTGTATTTTATTTATTTATCTGTGATATATCTCTGTATATTAGATAACTACGAGTGAGACATAAATCAAATTGTTTGTGTGTCTTCATGCTTTGCCGTATTTCTGTGTCTGTAAAATACAAGCCCCTACACACCTAAAACACTAATTTTGATACAGTCACAACAGGATGGCAGCAGTAACATGAGATGGATGGCACAACATGATACTCTCTTGGAAAAATAATCAATTTGTGATAACAAATGCGGAAAACTACGACAGACTCGCAGATGATGCTAAGCAGTGTACCAAGGTATAGGATACAGTAGTGACTGGTAGATGATGCTAAGCAGAGTACCAAGGTTTAGGATGCAGTGGTGACTCGCAGATGATGCTAAGCAGAGTACCATGGGTATAGAATGAAGTACTGACTGGTAGATGATGCTAAGCAGAGTACCATGGGTATAGGATGCAGTAGCGACTCGCAGATGATGCTAAGCAGAGTACCAAGGTATAGGATGCAGTAGTGACTCGCAGATGATGCTAAGCAGAGTACCAAGGTTTAGGATGCAGTGGTGACTCGCAGATGATGCTAAGCAGTGTACCATGGGTATAGGATACAGTAGTGACTGGTAGATGATGCTAAGCAGAGTACCAAGGTTTAGGATGCAGTGGTGACTCGCAGATGATGCTAAGCAGAGTACCATGGGTATAGAATGAAGTACTGACTGGTAGATGATGCTAAGCAGAGTACCATGGGTATAGGATGCAGTAGCGACTCGCAGATGATGCTAAGCAGAGTACCAAGGTATAGGATGCAGTAGTGACTCGCAGATGATGCTAAGCAGAGTACCAAGGGTATAAGATGCAGTAGCGACTCGCAGATGATGCTTAGCATAGTAACATGGGTATAGGATGCAGTAGTGACTCGCAGATGATGCTAAGCAGTGTACCATGGGTATAGGATGCAGTAGTGACTCGCAGATGATGCTAAGCAGAGTACCATGCTCATAGGATGCAGTAGTGAGCCAACCTGTGCCTACATCCTAATTGGCAAGCGTCCTTATTACTTTGTAACTGGCATAGCCTGTATATAAAACGATTCCTGGACTTCCTGTACGTGAATTTTATGTTTGCAATTTGTCAGAAGTTTATGATATAATAGTTATTTTTCTAGATTTAAGGTAAGGTGGTGTTCACTTTGTTGTGCATTGAAATATAATATTTCCGTGTGTATTGAACATGATAGCTCGGGGACTAATTTGGCCCTGAGGTGTCCAATCTGGTTCAAATCTGGCGATTTATAGAGCGATAGTGTGACTGCAGAAAAGCTGCACTTCCACGCGATGTATGGTCCAGAATTGTCTGAACGAACGATGCTGTAATTCAGGAATTGCACCTGTTACTAGGCGTACTATGGTGTAGGTCTAACGTTAGTGGAAGATGTGGCGCCCACGGTACTGATACCAAAGTCAACAGATGGTGCTCCAGCGGCTTCTTATTCACCAATTGTGTTCCATTGTGGTATGACAACGACACGTAGCGACATCATGATTATACTGTTTTCACATTTCACATCCGATGTGCTGATGATATATAACATTTAGTAATGTCCTGTTTCTTTGGTTACCCAACATACCCTTCAAACACGAAATGAATCGAAAGCCAGACTCTGTCAACTCAGGAATGAGAAAATGTTGCATAAAGGCTCTGTCAAGTCAGGAATGAGTAAATGTTGTATAAAGGCTCTGACAAGTCAGGAATGAGTAAATTTTGCGTTAAGGCTCTGTCGAGTAAGGAATGAGTAAATTTTGCATAAGGCTCTGTCAAGTCAGAAATGAGTACATTTTGCATTAAGGCTGTGTCAAGTCAAGAATGAGTAAATTTTGCATTAAGGCTCTGTTAAGTCAGAAATGAGTAAATTTTGCATTAAAGCTCTATCAAGTCAAGAATGAGTTAATGTTCTATTAAGACTGTCAAGACAAGTATGAAATGTAATATTCCACAATATCTGAGTTCTATGGCCCCGTGACTTAAGTGTTGCGTTTTGGAACCAAAAATAGTGATTTCAGTGAGACTTACAGGGACTTAGCTCTGATTAACTGACAGAGCAAGAGAAACGAACAGAATCGAAGTGAATGAATCACTTGAAACGAACACAGTGGCCAGTCTTAACTTTTCATGACACAGGGTATTACATTAGTTATAATGCAATATTGCTATTTATGACGTGAAGTTCGTAGCAAAACTGAACAATTCTAGGCACAAAAACTCTCAGACAAACATGTGGGGTGTTTTGAACATGGAGTGCGTTCATCACTCATGATACCGCAAACAGAAAGGTCCTATTACTACACCGATCGTAGTATTAGTTTCGTGCTCAGCCTGTGTTCACCCATGTCATTATATAGGTACGTTCATTTAGTCCGGGGCGGGGAAGCCTAGTGGTCAAAGCGTTCGCTCGTCGTGCCAAAAACCCGGGTTCGATTCCCCGAGATTTGTCTCTTACACATGAAGCCACAACTTCTTGGTTGGTTGCTGTTTACCGCCGCACTCAGCAATATCCCAGCTGTATGGCGGCGGTGTGTAAACAACCGAGTCTGGAACAGACTCTAGAATGAGCATGAGCATCGATCTACACAATTGCGATACTATAACATATGTCAACCAAGTCAGTGAGCCTCACCACCCGACACTGTTTGGTCGCTTCTTTATTCCTCCATAGTGAAGAGTACAGAAAGAGACAATATTTATGCACTTATTTGAGGATTTTTCATGCGCATTTGAACCAATATCACGTTTTCCTAATCAGTCAAATGCAAGAGTCACAATGAGTCACTGGAACACAGCTTTGTACATCATGGTGATGTATTTTATGCACTGAGTGGAAAACTCACTCAAGTCCTCTTTGATCAGAGGAAAGTCGGTTGTACACGACAACAAGCACTCTGCAAGTTCATTTGGGTCCATGTTTCGAAGTTTCACGCTGAATTCGATTGGCCCAACATTGATAAGGTCTGTCCACAGTTCGCCCCGAGTTGCATCTGTGTATCCACACACCATGAAGTCCGTGGAAAAAAGGCATAAAACGTGCCCTTTAAAAATGTGGCTCTAAACCTAGAATCATTGTCACCCAAACCATTGTTTAGACGCCGACAGGTCGGAAGAATTTGCTGGCATGTTTCAATGCCACGGCTAACTGAAAATGACAGATGGAGATCCATTGGATTCGAATCACCCATCTGCGCCATAGACTCCAACCAGCCACACTGATAGCCCAACAGCCCGAACAGTTCCTGGTGTCAACTGGATCATTCGACGGCGTCTGGCTGCACACGGCATGCCAGCTAGACGTCTTACCAGATGATAAATTTTGACAATACGTCACCAACGTCAAAAACAGCAGTGGAGCGCAGGGCAACGCGAACGCCGTGGTGTTTCAGCAGTTCATACCGCAGCACAATGTTAACGTCCCTCTCTGGCCCGCTAAATCCCCAGATGTGGCCATTATCGAACACGTCTGGGACGAAATGGAGAGGTGATTGAGACATTGACCAAATCCCTAACTCACGATTCAGGAACTCCGCCAGGTACTTCCACAGATATGCAAAGCCACATTCAACAAGACCTTTTGCGACGTTTGATTGGCTCTGTGAGGGGAAGGTGTCAAGCGCGCACCAATGGTTATGGTGAACATTCACGTTATTGCATGTGTGATTTTCATTTGACCGTTCTCGCACTGCGACCTCAGTAGCATGTGTCCGCCAGTAAGGTTTAAAATGTGTCATTTGCAATCCTATTGTGGAATGATTTTCTTGCAATATTATCATAAAAGTCTCATCACATCGAACTTCCATCAAGTCAATTACAATGACCTTTGCCTATCAGTATATTTAACCTATATGTGGCCTGCAGGTGCGCCCTCGTATGTGTGTGATGTGTGTACTATGCGTGCGTGCTTGCTGTGCTCAGTGCGTGTGCGCACGGACGTGTGTGTGTGAGAGAGAGAGAGAGGGAGAGAGAACAAAGCAAAAGGGATGAGTATAGGTGAAAATGAGGTCATGTGCAAGCATATACCACACGCGTGTCTATGTCCTTATGTTCTTTCATCCGTATGTAAACAACTTTCACGAATGTTAATTTAACATTAGGTCTCACTAAGAATGTCAGATAATTGCATTGCTCATTTTATGAATTTGATTGTTCATTTCAGTTGATTATATTTTTGTATTCTAGTTGAAAAAAAATCTGCAACAACGTAGTTATATACTGGCCACATAAGGAAACTGTGCACACAGAAAATATAAAGATAGGCAGACAGCGTCATTATACATAAATATAGGTGTGAACATAGCAAGTATTGGAGACAATCAAACGCTCATGCAGGTACCAGGCGACGTGACGTCATTGAAGGTGGCCTATAGACTTGCAATGTGTTACTGCACGTGCAGCCTGTGCAGCTGCACACAACATGTGAAACTCAGAAATTGCTGTCACTGTCGAAAGCTTGATCTTTGGTCATTCAAACGTTCACAAATTCAGATGAGAAGTCACATGCACATCATGCCAAGATAAGCCTCTGCTCAACGCCATGAAGCCATTGGAATAGTTCGAGCAGGCATGAGCCAACAACAGGTGGCATCAAATTTCCAATGCCATCGTAAGACGATATCTGCATTGGTCAGGCGTTCTGGAAACTAATGACGTTGCCGACCACCCACGTTCTGGGCGTCCCCGAGAAACGACGCCAAGACAGGACAGATGGATTCGGGTGATTCATCTCAGACACAGGTTCAAGACGGCAGTGACCACGTCCCAAACCATTCCCCAGGCCTTCATTCTGGTCCCGTTGTACAAAACAACCTTAGCTCTAAGGTTACCTTATCTCCTTAAGTTTTAACCTTAGGCCTTTGCTAAGGTTGACGTCCCGTTGTACGAATCTACCTTACGCTAAGGTAGCCTTAGTTAAGGTGAAAATTTAAGGTTAGTCCGACCCAACCTTAGTGTGGCTAAGGCTGACATTTCGAGTAAATACAATATGGCTACATTCTTGTTGATGCATGATGAAACTGGAAAAAAGTTTGAGAAAACAGCGTGTTTTCCGAGACAGAACCATCCAACTAGAAACTCTGACTGACTTAGAACTCATATCCCGGTATAGACTCACACGCGAAGCTATTTTCTGCCTTGTGGACAAAGTTCGCCCAATGGTCGAAAGACCGACACAGCGTTCCCACGCTATGACAGTCGAATCACAAGTCCTCTTAACTTTGAGATATCTGGGAAAAGGAGGATTTCTTTCTGAAATTGGAGATTTACATGGTCTGGACAAATCCAGTGTTTCTCGGGGCTTCCATTGCACGGTGAATGCAATATGTACGGTGTTAGACAATATTACTTTTCCCTGGAGTCTAGAACAGCAAACTAAAGTTAAACAAGATTTCTACCGAGTCGGTCATTTCCCCAAAGTTCTCGGCGCTGTAGACGGAACACTTATTCCAATCAAACGACCTTCACCAAACGAGGAAGCCGCCTACGTATGCCGCAAGGGATACCATGCAATCAATGTGCAAGCGATATGCGACAGTTCTCTCCGGTAAGATATAAACTAGACATACATTTACGTCTAAAGTTATCATAAAGATACTTTAGTTACACTTGTTTTCGATATCTACCAAGTACTATCTCTTAATGTTGAAAGAAAAATGATGAACTGGTTAGTGGTCCGCAAACTACGCATCTCTGTTTACATTAGCAACGGCCTTGACCCACAAACGAGCCGAAACTACTTTCTTGTCAAATGAAACGAGCTGCATTTTCAGTCTGTTTTAAATTAGTAATTTATTGTACCCATTTATACAGCAATCGTTTCAGGATTATTTTCTGTCAGAATTCATTTAGTTTAAGTAAATAAATTCTTTTTAAACAAACATTTTGCTCCAAATTATTCTGTGCACGGTGTTGATTTTACTGATTTGACAGGTCAGCAAGTTACGAAGAAGTTGCAGGAATATCGGCGTGAAAGTAATAAGTTAGAAAGAAATACACTGTCATCAGTTTAACGTGTTCACCATTTCAGTTTTACCAACGTGGTTGCCAAGTGGCCTGGTTCAACTCATGACTCCCTGATATGGAGTAACAGTCAAGTTGGCATGAAGATGGAAGAAACTGCACCTGATGGCTGGCTACTTGGCGATTCAGGGTAAACCATTTAACCATAGTCATCAGTATATGTTGTGGTAGTTATACGTTTGAAGTGCAGTAAACAGATATACCATTCCTGTGTAGCTTCCAAGTATAATCGCTGCTATACCAATTATTGATATCATACATTTAAAAAAAAATTAATGTTATGTACCTCATACTCATTGTACAGATATGCATGCAGACCTTGGATGCTGACCCCCTTAGCAGATCCTCAGACAAAGCCAGAACAGAGGTACAATGCAGCCCATATCAGGACAAGGAACACAGTTGAAAGGGCATTTGGAGTGTTAAAGTCAAGATTCAGGTATTATATTCATGGTTCCATTTGTGTATGAATGGTGATATGACAAAATATAGATATATATAGTATTACTCTTTGGATTAAGAATAAGCTAAAGGCTTCTTGATTTCCTCCTTTTTTGTTATATATTCCATTGTATAAGTGCACCAGGATAGTTCGATTATCTTTTGAGCTGTAATATTCATAATGTACATGAGAATATTAAATTTATATCTGTGTGTTAATTTAAAGAATAATACAACCAGTGAAGAACATTAATGTTTCACCTGATAAAGAATATCATTTATTTGTTTATGGAAAATTTAGTTGAAATTGAACATAACTTAAATTGTACAAACATAATATTTAAGGCATAACTTTTTTACTGTAACTACAGTAATGTTTATCTGACTTTTTCAGATGTCTCCATAAGTCTACTGGATGTTTATGGTTCAGTCCACAAAGATGTGTGGCTGTAATCATGGCTGCTTTCAAGCTGCACAACTTCTGCATAGACAAAAATATTGCACCACCACCAGAGGACACTGACATGGAAGTTGATCATGCTACTGGGGAAAACTGTCCTGTCTCTAGCCAGGATGGATGTTCAACAAGGAGGAAGCTGATTGCAGAGAGATTTACATAGACTGTAAGCAAACAAAATACAGTAGCCATAGGTTGATTAAATACATGTATTTATGTTTATTACAGTAACATAGATGAACATGTATTTGCAGATATCAAAATAGATAACAACAAAATTTATGAATATTTTGCTTTTAAACACAGGTAAGATACTGGGATGTTATCATGGTTAGGAAGAATACATAAATTGGATAACTGGGGAAAGAGTATTGGGAGATTTGTTGCCTGGATTCATCAGCATATGTTGCAGCAGTTGAAATTTTGATTTCTCCAGATCAAGTCTTTCTCGCTCTAAAGTGAGATGGTCTTCCGATATTTTTAACATCTTCTTTTGCACCTCAATCAGCTCTTTGAGGGCATCCGCTTTTGTTGTCTCCATTTCCATGATGGAGGCAACATATTCAGGCTGCTGCTTTGGGTTTTCTGCAATAAATGTTATAAAATTCAATTTATATTACATTACCAGCACTTCCATGTTATTTGCTCATTGATCAACATTCTACATTTCATTCCGATAAAAAAATATGAAAAAGAAATCAATTGTAGAGGCCTTAAAAAGTATTTGTAAACACATTGTATTTATTATTGATATTATTGAGAATTCTTATTCCATGATGATATGGATAGAAAAAAATAGTTTTTGGCATGTTTAAATAACATTTCATGCAACATATTTAACAATTTCATACCAGATTTTCTTTGCCTGCCCCTGTTCAACTTTAGGTCCTTATCTGTAACATCCCAGAAAATACATCTGTTTTAAATAAATATTAAATGCCTAATATAACTATTAAACGACTAATGTAACATCACATTAATATCCTAGAGAAACAGTAGAATTTAAACAACACTCCAATTGTTTATTTATCATTTTTTACCATTTGAGGCTGAATTATGACATGGCTGATCTGCTGTTTCCACAGGTTCAGCCATAGAGGTAGCCTCATCACCATTGATGGTTCCATACATTGATATAGGACCTGCAAGGAATTAAAGGACTTAAAGTTCTGTCAATACACATTGTAAGTACATATATATGACATTTTTAAGCTGTGACTAACTGACTTGATGACAAATTTAACTTTTAAACATGCCTTTAAAAATATTAATTAAGCATACCAGGTGTTTCGTTGCTCTTCCTCTCATCGCTGGTGAAGGCCGAATCAAAGTAGTCTTCTGTGGGAAGGCCACTATCACTGACCATGTTCAGTGTTTGAAAAACTGAAAGATTTATGTTATTTATTACCTAATCATCTATGTAATGTCAGACCAAGCTAATATTCATATGACTATCAGTAATAATTATTGAAAATACACACAATGCAACAGAGGAAATGATTTGAAAATATTCAATCAGCTTAAAGATTGTTTTAACGATTTGGAACATATTCTGACATTGATTGAGAAAAAACACTCACTTTCATCAACCTCAGACTCCAATCCACCAGTTATCCCTTCAATTTGGCACTGTGGAATCAGTGATACAACCTAAAAACATAAATATTTATATTTCAATATGTGTGTACTAGGAAGGAATAAATCAACAGATGTGAATATAATGTTGTAACCCTGCAGGGAGTGGTGGTGGTTGTTATGAGAGAACACTTTTATCATAGCCTTTATATCCTGGTATCCCTGAATTAACATTGTCAAAATGAAATTAAAACTTAATGATTACTTTAAATTCCAGATCAGTCAGAGGTACTGGAGCTGGACCACCTCCGGTTTTGGATGATTCTTTTCTGACATCCATGGCTCTTCTTTTCACCTGAGATCTGTAAATTAATCATGTGAAAATTAGTTATTTCCTGACATATCCAATTCACATTGTAAATAAAAAGCTTATTTTTATGTTTTCAAATACTAGTAATTGTTTGTCCTTTTTGCTTAAATAATGTTATTATACATCAAAACAACAGAACTTAATTTACCACAACCTACAATGGCATGCACATGTAAGCGCACACGCACACACACACACACACACACACACACACACACTTTCTGACACTTACTTATAATCATTCCATTTTTTTCTTAGTTGTGCCCCTGTTCTTTCCACTGAAGAGCAAGCACTTATCCTGGAACAGTGACAATAATATGATATATTTCATATATCCAATGAACGTCATATTTAATTTGTCTATCACTTTTAATTTCCAAGAAGTATGTCTCAGCAAACCTGCAGTGTATACAAAAAAATATCAAAATTAAATCTTTTCAGCAGAAATACAAATAGAATGCCCAGGGGGGGGGGTTGTGAACTTAGTATCATAACATAAATGATACATAGACAAGCGTGCGATTACAAAACATTCAATGCTATCTGCTAAGATAAAAAAATGAAGACACTTACTTTGCAGCTATTGCATCCCACTCCTTCAGTTTAGTTTGGTTGGTAATAGATGAAGAAAAAGATCCAAACAAGATGTGGCTTCGACACTTCACCTCATCGGCCAGCATTGTTAGCTCGCTCGGTGTATAGTTTGACAACCTGTTCCGTTTTCGTGCACTGCTAGTAGACGCCTCTGCCATGCCGAAGTATTGATAACACTAGTCGTCTGCTGATACGAGCAGGGGAGATAACTCACAACCGTAACTACGGACATAATTGTATCTCCGGCACTAAAGATTTCAACCTTAGCTAAGGTTGCCGCTAAGTATCCTTCCAGAGTTAAGGTTGACCAAAGGTAGCTTTGTGCAACGGGCGTAACTTTATGTTAAGGTTACCTTAAGGTCAACCTTAGTGACTAAGTTCAACCCGAAACCAACAAACAAGGAGTTCACAGTAAAGCTAAGGGTAACCCATGTTTTCTAGAATCACATTTACAGGGAGCATGTCATCAAGCGTCAGGCAGAAGACCCTGGTTCGAATCCCCACATGGGTACATTTCTGGTGTCCCCCGCCGTGATGTTGCTGGAATATTGCTAAAAGCGGCGTAAAACCAAACTCAGTCAGTCAGTCAGTTATTAAGTAACAGATTGATGCAAGATAAGAGGGTAAATAATAAAATAGAACGTCGCACTAGTGCATTTGGATGTTTGGTATCGAACGAGAATTTGTCATGACATCTTCGCGTTCAATACAAAACATCCAAATGCACTAGTATGACGTTCTGTATATTTATCCTTCAGGTGTGTCAACGGTGTACATCCGTTCTGGAGAAACAGCAGCTCTGGCTTGGAATTTACATGGGTCTGGAATGAAAGAGTTTTGGGTCAGAAACGACTTTTGGCACAGCACAATCTTTCACATTACCAAGTACAAGAAAGTGAACATTCCCAGTAGGACTCTGAGATCAAGAATAGTATTCACCGGACACATAACATCGTCAGGAACTGGTCTGTTCAGGTTCATGATCAATGACGCTGACGACCATGACTTTGGCCAGTACAGCTGCTACAAGGGTTCACCACAACGTCCGGGAGCGAAGGTCCCCAACTGTGGGCAAAACCTGGTTGTGATACGTAAGTCGTTCATTAACTGATACTATTGTCAGGATGTTAGTCTCTTGACTCACCGTTCTTAATACATTAGAATATCAATGTTCGAGTTCATGTTTCCAGAAAATTACCATGTTTAAGTGATCTCGTTGATTATCCCTACACAGGTGATTCACTCTCCATATGTCAATGTGTTTGAAACAGGTGTTCAAGAACCCTACATTGACAGCCCGGGAAAGGCAACAGTCGGTGATTCTGTAAACATGACATGCCACTCTTTTCTGAAAAGCTACCCCAACTGGAACCTGACCATGTCCTTCATCTGGAGTAGGAACGGAACGAGAGTGGAGCACGGCGGCAAGCATAAACTGGAGTCTGTTAGCAGGAGCTGGACAGACGGGCAATTCATGACGATCACTCTGACCATCAGTGGCGTGACAAAGAAGGACAGAGGAGAAAGATATACTTGTCAGACAGTAGTTGGGGAGAATCTTCTCACAGATCAGAGTATAGACAATGTCCTTGGTGTATCGTGTAAGTAGTCCTTGCATATCTCACGCATGCATAATCGCATTATGTCCTTTACTAATATCATTCCAACTTAAATTTATAAAATGTGATTTAGTAGCACAACTTCAGTATAAAGTATTTTCGGTTCTACAAAGACAGGGCGGTGTGAGGGCCTGCCATTTAAAGCAGGTCGCTGCGCCTCATACTCATCACAGAAAACGTTTGTCTTGTTTTCTGAGCTCAACATTCATTTTTGACTGTGATTGTTGGTTTACCATCACCAAATCCATGATGTTCAAATGTGGTATACAATTTGTCTCAGTCACTCAGCTCATTGCTTCTGTTGTTAAGTCTCATTTTGGGGATACGCATTTATTGTTGCTTTCATTCCACATTGAACTCACGTGACGTATGAAAGAATTGCTCTTGTAATGTGGTATAAAACATATCTAACATCTGTAATCATTGTTCTTGTTGATACAAATCTTTTTAAGGGAACATTTACTGTTTTACAGATATACCTGAAACTCACAGTAATAACACGGAAGCAAAAGTGGCAGACAATGTGTTGTTTTCCATGAAGACATCCGTACACCAGACAAAGATCTACGTGATCGGTCCAACTGATAGACTTGTGTTCGAGATGGACTCCTATGAAATCTACATACGGGAAGCCTTCTGGACCAGGATCAAGATTATGAAGGTCATCACTTCATGGGCTACAGTTGCTGTACAGTTCCAACTCTCTGACATCACATCATCTGATGCTGGGAGGTACTACTGTAGCTTGGAGCCTCGTGGACAGACAGGCTGTTCCTGGGATCACTTCCTGGTCGTTTCCAGTAGGTTAAACTGCCTTTGTGTTTTGAACTAAAGGAAACTCGTATCTTTCTTAAATTAGTTGTACTAACTTACTAGAACAGCCTTACGCTTGATACATTGTGATTTATTTCAAAATTTGATAAGCATACTCATTGATGTTTACTTTGTAAACAATGAATTCTGTGTTTATTCAACAGCCCGTTCACAACCTGATAATGTTCGTGACTAGGATTAATCATTTTCTCCTTTTCTAAGATAAATTGATAAAAGTGTTATATATGATATAATGTATTCGTATTTTAGATGCTGCTGTCACCGTACCAGCTTCACAGTCTGTCAGAACATCCACTACAGGTAAGGTATATGAGTCATATCATTTAATCCGTGAACATGTTGTCTTAATGGTTGTAGGAAACCTCAGATCAAATACTGAGATTAGTTGCTCGATGTCCGCGTGAGCTACACGTGAGCTGTGACTGCACCAGCTTCACAATCTGAAGAAAGCTCTACTAAAGGTAAAGGATAATGCTTTGCAGGAACTTGAATTTTGCACGAAGAAAAAGGTCTCTTTAACCCAAAAATGTTATGCAAATTCTCTTTCATCTGGTAAAAGTTGAACACAGAAAAAGAATCAGAGGTGACAGGAGGAAATTACAGAACTACCGTGTTCAATTCCAGTTGCATAATTTCTATAAATAGATATCGATGACGCAGAAAAGAGCAAAAATGTGAAAAAATTCTCAAAGAAAGACATATGTTTCGCATTACCGGTGAGCGGTGACATATTTTTTGCATGTAATATTTAAAACACAGCTTTTTGAACTTAACGTAGAAGCCGGCAATGAATTAGTCTTAAAATTGCACTTTGTGTGACACAATTAAACCTTGTACTATCAGAGAACTTAATGTACAATATTATCGATAACACAATTTTCATGTGGATAATCACTATTTCCGATGTGAATTATTTTAGCTAGCCTCATTGCCTATATTTACACTCAATGTGCATGTTAACACCGGGTATTTGACGTCCACTTCGAATGTGAGAGATGATCTGTACTAATTCATCATCTGGTATGTGTATGTTTCCATATAATCGGTAACTAAATAGCGATCGCTTATCAATATATATCAAAGACATAACTTTGAGGAAAAATGACAAAAATATCTGAAATATACAATTTATCTCACATATATGAGTTGTGACATCTTCTTGCATGGATTATTAACAAAACAGCGTTTTGAACTTCATTTAGACGCAGCCAACTCCTTAAAGTGCATATTGTGTAAGAAACTTAAAACTTGTACTGTCACTGAAATTAATGAACAATATTATCGATAACACAGTTTTCATATCGAAAATCATTCATAATGTTTCCTATCAACGATATTTCCGATTATCGATTATCTTAACCAGCCCCACTGCCTATATTTGCACTCAATGTACATGTTAACACAGGATATATGACGTTCACTTCGACTGTGAGAGATGATCTGACAACTGTGGAGCCCACCACAGTCAAGGCCTCCTCTGTACCAGCTGATGATGATGCTAATACAACATCTGGTATGTGTATGTTTCCATATAAACACTTGCTCACAAATGATGCTTTCCTTTCATTCGAATACATAGTCTTAGTCTTGATCTAAGAATAGCTCAGTAAAACCTCTCTTCCAGGAGGGACGGAGACACTTTCTATGGTCAGCATTGGGCTTTCTGCAGCAACAACGTTGGTGATGACCGTGATAGGAGTGTCACTCTGCCACAGAAGGATCAAGCGACGGAAAGGTTAGAGTCAGATAATGTTGAAATACTGTTGAAGAGATACATTCAATGGTGTGTCAGGGAGGAATGAATCGAATCTCAGATTATTGACTATTACATAGGTGTTTGTACATGTATATGTTGTCTAGTGTCTAGGTACGGATGTTGGTTTTTGTGGTGCATTTACACCGTGGCGGCTTGTATTTACCAGAATGTTACGACGCGTCAGCTGAAGAATCCGTGCTTATTGGTATCGTGTAATATGTGTTGTTCTGCAATATCAAAGATACCTCCTGATTACCAAAGCATTCTCACATTTCATTAAATATCGTCTCAAATCTCTGTGCCAAATATATTACCATCAATCTAATTTTCATCTTTGTGTTTTAGATGTATTCGAGCTAAGTTCACAACATCATTTAAAATCTTAATAAATGTCACCTTTTAGTTTCTGGACTTATTTGCAAAACTGAATTAAGAATGCTTATTCTTTAAACAGACCTTATTTGGATCATGTAGCTTTCGTATTCAACATGGAGATGCACTTGCTTCCGAACAGACATTTTAATCAACAAGAAAATCAATGTCTCCGTTTCAGGGTCAAGGAAACAAAGGTAAGCATTATGTTATCATTTACATATTGAGCTTAAAGTTGTTTTTTTGGTAAGTATATCAATGTAAACGCAATGCAGTGAAAACGATTGTTGTAGGGAGGGTGGTGGGTGTGGGTGGGGTGGGTTGGGTGTGTGTTTAACAAGGAAGTCGGCCAATTTGTTTTCATGACTAGATCACACCAGTGTGTGACTTTTATGTGACACCCCTCCCTCTCCACCACCACCAAATGTTTAACACATCATCCACGAACGTTTAAAGACAGTTTTAAAGATTTCTCTTCTTTTTCCACAGGATCCCAGTATTGTATATCCGAAGTACGACGAGAATGAAGGATACGAAATTATTAACCATATTTGAGAATCAAGTCCAGTTGGAACCACGATGATCTTCATGCGCCAGAGGAGCAGTGCATGAACTGAGACACATCTGTTCAGATATATTTGGGACACCGCCATGATTAGCTGAACTACTTCATTTGACATATAACAACGTTCACGTTTTCACTAGACCGAGGGGTTGGGCTGCCTATTGATTAAAACGTTCGCTCGTCACACGGAAGGCCTGGGTTCGATTTACCGTCCTCCGTCGTGATATTGCTTGAATATTGAAAAAAAGCTAAACTCACTTACTGGACTGACTACAAGCGTTCAATAACGTTTGGGATGGACGTTGTGAAAGAATAATACGGTAAAGGCGTCATCTCCAGCACAAACAAATGACTGTATATGATGATGTTGGACGACGCTGTGTCGCCTAGACGCGAATAGATGAGGATAAATCTGTGATGTATTTTCTCTTCGAGACATATTTGACAAACTGTAACATCTAGAACTAGAATTGGTGCATAAAAAGGGTCAACTTCTTCTAGTACAGACAGTGTGCTTATATAGTGATTAGGACTTTATTCAAGCCCCGGGTCTCCTATACACGACTTCTCCTCGTTATAACGACTGGTTGAGCGTGGGGAAAGGTCATAAGTTACAAAAAGGACGTGGTACTTCCTGCACGAAAATCTAGTCAATACAGTTCATTGCGTACACAACACTTCTTTTTCCCGTGCAACTGGATGCTAATGATAAGAATTACTTTCGAAATAATATTGAAAGAGGAAGAATAAAAGCAGGGGAACAGTTTTTGAATTTTAAATGAAAAATGTAACGATATCAAATTATTTAATATTCTCTCCTTTCCCGGGGAAGCTTATTTGTTTGTTGTTGTTTAAAGCCTCACTCACAAATGTTCCACCTATATGGCGGCGGTCTGTAACTAATCTAGTCTGGACCAGACAATCTAGTGATCGACGGCATGAGCATCGATCTATTCCCGGGAATGGGATGTTCCACTCGTCTGATGTTGTACAGTTGTTGTTGTAGTTATTGGTTTGGCAACTGTATTTTGCTGTAAATACATAAGAATGAAACTTGAAGAATGAAGGACAAAAATATGATATATATTCTGTTTTCGAAGAGCTATGAATTTTGCGCTTCCATGTTGATTTGATAAGAGATGTGTTGTTTCAAATAAATTCGGTTTAGTGCCTGTATACGTATCAACGTATCATCATCCCTCTATACTTATCATCATCATCATCATCATCATCATCATCATCATCATCATCATCATCATCATCATCATCATCATCGTCATCATCATCATCACCTTTCTTAGAAACTAGTCTAGTCGTTAAAGTGTTAGGTCGTCACGCTGAAGATCCGGGCTCGATTCCCCGCATGGGTACAATGTGTGAAGCCCATTTCTGGTTTTTCCCCGCTCTGATTCTGCTGGAATGTTGCTGAAAGCGGCTTAAACTAAACTCACACACTAAGAAACAGAAAATAGCTTACTCGTCACAGCCAGGATGACAAATATGAGGAATGGAAAAGAAACAAATGCCTGAGTGTTTTATTTAATTCATGGCCGTGAACGTCGTGTGATTTTAAAATCCGAACTGAAAGTGCCCAGATGTTTTAGCAAGGAATAAGCTACATGAAATAAATATGTTTTGTAACCCTGAAAATGTTTGAATGTTCGTATTCGCTCGCTTGTAGAAGAGGACACATTTACAGAAATATTTTAATGTCTGTTATCTGAAACCTTTGTACGGAAACAAAAACCCTGCATAAAATATTTTCATTTCCTCAAAACATGAGTTTATTTTCCAGAGAAACTGCTCAATTTATGCATTGTGAGAAATAGCAATGAATAAATCTAACAGCTAGAAACATGGACACGTGGTGGGAGTTGGGGGGTAGCCTAGTAGTTAAAGAGTTCGCTCGTCGTGCGGAGCGGACCCGAGTTCGATTGCACACATGCATGGGTGCAATGTGTGAAGCTCATTTCTGGTGTCCCCCACAGCGATAATGCTTGAATATTTCTAAAAACGGCGTAAAACTAAACTCACTCACGTAGTGGGCACGTATATGGAGGGTTTCACACGGACGTAAAGGACTTTGCGCCGATCACCAGTCTCGTCATCAGTTTTCCTTCCTGTATTTACATCTTAAGAATATATATTCCTGTTCATTTTCTGAAATGTGTAACACAAAACACATTTCAAATTAAGCAACTGAAGTTTACATTTCAATGGGTGAGAGCATTTATCTAATCAAATTAAGTAACCTTGACCTTGCTGAATATGACGGAGGTCGTCAGTACTGAAATAAGTTCATAAAGCACAATTATATTTTAAGAGAATAAAATTTAAGAGGATGTAGATTAATGTTGTAAATAAATTCATGAAGGAATGTAGTGCTGTTTTAAATAGTCATATTCTCGTAGTGTTAAATATTCTGTCCGATTTTTTTATGAAGTCAGTGCACCCTTGAAGACAATCCAGTGATCAACAGCATGAGCAGCGATCTACGTAATTGGGATACGGTTGACTAATGTCAACCACGTCAGCGAGCCTCACCACCCGATCCTGTTAGTCGCCTCTTACGACAAGCATTGGTTACTGAAGATCAATTCTAACCCGGATCTTCACCAGTTTTATTTTCACTGATACCAGAGACTACAGGGAACTGTCCGATAGCTTACAGTATTTATCCTTTAAGATATGACGACAGACAGCTACGCCATATACTGTCTTTATATTTGGTTTCATCGCAGAAGACAGAACACACACATATATATATATATATATATTGGTTGCTTATAGTGGCTGCGTAGATCAGAGACTACAGATGGTTGTCCCAATTGCTTACAGTCTGTTGAGGTATGGCAGCTACTAATACTACGTCATATAATTTCCTCACATTGGTTTCATTTTCCTGATCATATATACAACCTATCCGTTTCTTTCTTTGTAGAGCATATGTTAGTCACCCAACGTAACCTTTAAACACGAAACGAATCGATTACACCTCTTTCCTGTTGAGTCAGACTCTGGCAAATCAAACTATAAATATAGTATCTCGCAATAAGTACTTTCCATGGCCCTATGTCATAAGTGTTCTGTGTGATGTGAGTACGGTTGAAAGAAAGGTGATTTCAGTGAGAATTATAGCGTTAATTAAAACACAAGAATATAGCAAATGTAAGTGAATGAGTGAACCGAGAAGTTTGGAAGGGTATAGTCTCACCACACAAAGAAGTAGCCTATAGTTCTGGAAGATACTGTGTATATATATATTCTGGAGCTGGACGAGGTCATTTGTGGTTTGTTGCCTCATGGATGCATATGGATAATAAGTAGTATTATATTGTACAGCACAGAGGAAGTATTTGTTGTGCGAGGGATAATCTCCCTGTCAGTCACTGATATAACCTACCAAGAAGCACAGAAGTGTGTGTGTGTGTGTGTGTGTGTGTGATGTAGCCAAGACAATGGAAGTCAGGATGAGGTCAGTTGAACCGAGGTCATGTTTTAGCATGTCTTTGTACTTCATTAGCAGTGTCAGTGGTATGTAAACAACTTTCACAAATGTCTATTCAACATAAGTTCTCACTAAAAATGTCATATAAATGCACTACTCATCTTATGGCTTTAATTGTTCATTTCAATTGATTATAGATTGCTATTCCAGTCAAAATATTCCAGTACCAATGAACAGGTGTCATTGTAGTGTCCCACATGCATTTATCACTGAAGTACTTGTGGCCTTTCAGCTAACGTAACTTTCGGGGACAATACTACACTGTCCTGGTATCTACCGAAACCAACAAACAAGGAGTTCACAGTGTGGAACACACGCTCAGGGAAACCCATACTCACTGTAGCCAACTACAATAATGTCACTGACATGAGCCTAGAATCCAGAATCACATTTACAGGGAGCATATCACCTTCGGAAACAGGATTATTTAGATTTGTCATCAGTGATGTCAAGTTCCACGACGAAGGCCAGTATGAGTGTTATGTTGGCCCGCCAGATAACAGAGGGTTTACAATTGATAATTGTGGACAGACACTTTTCGTGATGGGTATGTGTTACTCAAATGATATTGACTTCTCTCTCACCATATGCACATTTCCTGCTAAGTATAGGAAGCACATACATATATGTAATACTATTTTACGAATGAATGTATATGTCAGTAAATGAGAAGTCGTTTCATGTTCCATCATTTTTATATTCATTTAAAAGGACATCTGTGATGCACATATAATATATTCTGTATTTATCCTTCAGCTGCATCAACTGTGTACATCCGGTTTGGAGAAACAGCAACTCTGGCTTGGAATTTGCATGGGTCTGGAATGAAAGAGTTTTGGGTCAGAAACGACTTTTGGCACAGCACAATCTTTCACATTACCAAGTACAAGAAAGTGAACATTCCCAGTAGGACTCTGAGATCAAGAATAGTATTCACCGGACACATAACATCGTCAGGAACTGGTCTGTTCAGGTTCATGATCAATGACGCTGACGACCATGACTTTGGTCAGTACAGCTGCTACAAGGGTTCACCACAACGTCCGGGAGCAAAGGTCCCCAACTGTGGGCAAAACCTGGTTGTGATACGTAAGTGGTTCCTGAACTGACACTATTGTCAGCATGTTAGTCTCTTGACTCAATGTTAATAAATGCGTTTTGTTCATGTTCCCAGAAAAGTATCATATTTATGTGATGTCGTTGCTTATCCCGTTCGCAGCTTATATGATTGAGAACTCACTCACTTTACATATGTTAATGCGTTTGCAACAGGCGTTCAAGAACCCTACATTGAGAGCCCGAGAAAGGCAACAGTCGGTGATTCTGTAAACCTGACATGCCACTCCTTTTTGAAAAGCTTCCCCAACTGGAACCTGACCTTGTCCTTCATCTGGAGTAGGAACGGAACGAGAGTGGAGCACGGCGGCAAGCATAAACTGGTGTCTGTTAGCAGGAGCTGGACAGGTGGGCGATACATGACGATCACTCTGACCATCAGTGGCGTGACAAAGAAGGACAGAGGAGAGAGATATACTTGTCAGACAGTAGTTGGGGAGAATCTTCTCACAGATCAGAGTATGGAAAATATCCTTGATGTATCGTGTGAGTAGTCCTTGCATATTTTTACGCATCCATGATCGTATCATGCTCTTGACTGATATCATTCCAAATTACATTTACAAGATGTGATTTAGTAGCACAACCTCAGTATAAAGTATTATCGGTTCTACAAAGACAGGGCGGTGTGAGGGCCTGTCATTTAGAGCAGGTCGGCTTATCATAGAAAGCTTGCGTCTTGTTTTCTGAGATCAACATTCATTTTGACTGTGATTGTTGGTTTACCATCACCAAATCCATGATTTTCAAATGTGGTATACAATTTGTCTCAGTCACTCAGCTCATTGCTTCTGTTGTTTACTCTTATTTTTGGATACACATTTATTGTTGCTTTTATTCCACATGGAACTCACGTGACGTATGAAAGAATTGCTCTTGTAATGTGGTATAAAACATATCTCAACAGCTGTAATCATTGCTGTTGTTGATACAAATTCCTTTAAGGGAACATTTACTGTGTTACAGATATACCTCACCCTCACAGTAAAAACACGGAAGTAGAAGTGGGTGACAATGTGTTGTTTTCCATGAAGACATTCGTACACCAGACAAAGATCTACGTGATCAGTCCCACTGATAGACTTGTGTTCGAGATGGACTCCTATGAAATCTACATACGGGAAGCCTTCTGGACCAGGATCAAGGTTATGAAGGTCATCACTTCATTGGCTACAGCCTCTGTACAGTTCCAACTCTCTGACATCACATCATCTGATGCTGGGAGGTACTACTGTAGCGTGGAGCCTCGTGGACAGACAGGCTGTTCCTGGGATCACTTCCTGGTCGTTTCCAGTAGGTCAAACTGCCTTTGTGTTTTGAACTAAAGGAAACTCGTATCTTTCTAAAATCAGTTGTACTAAATTACTAGACCACCCTTACACTTGACACATTGCGATTTATTTCAAAATTTGATAAACATACTCATTGATGTTTACTTTGTAAACAGTGAATTCTGTGTTTATTCAACACATGGAAAGTACACTCTTAGATACTACCATCAATACGGACACACGTATTAACTGTACCGATAGCATCTAATGACTCGCCAGATAAGCTCTTCGCTTCGACTTCGTTTCCTATATCGACACACCACTAGGAAAAGCCTCCTCCAACGAGAAAACACTAATGCATGACACACCTGAATCAATGACTGCTTGCGTACTGAGCCTACCAGTTTCGACAATTTGGATGGTGAAACAGAAGGTTGTACGACATTCACTCTCTCACGACAGAATCGTGCAATGTGACCTCGTATACAACACTGGTAACACTTTCTCTCATCATGCGTACCTCTCCTGGAACTCGCTGCACCACGTGACCAGTGGGCTTTGACATAACACTAGAATGTGTACCCACCTGACCAGAGGCTAGGCGTAATTTAGTACGACACTCTTTCTCCTTATGACCAAGTTTTTTGCAACACGAACACTTAATACGCAAAACTGCAGAATTATCAGAATCTTGCAGGCGAGGAGTCATGTCTACGAGACTTTCAAATTTGGGCAGTTTTGCTTGCTGACAAACAATGACCTGTAAATGATCCTTAACAGATTTGGAATACAGACCATCATAGAATCGCTGAGAACATAGTTCTTCCTTATCTGATTTAGCAAATGAAGGATAAGCCTCGTCTACTTTTAAAGACAAACGATGCGCAAATTCATCAATGGTTTCAGAAACCTTGTTGCGATCACGTCACTAAAGTTGTCAGTTTTCTAATAAAATGCTTAGTTGATAAGGAGGAATAAAAACTTGTCAGACTTGAATTGTTTAGAATGCATCCTTTTTTCAGATCGTATGAATACACTGGTCTCAACTAGTACTGTACGTTCCACCATTGGTCAAACAAAACCTCAAACAGCGACCCCTGCATCCATAACGTCAGCAAGTACTCAGTGTACGTTACGATCGAAACACTCTCTCTTAACAAGATATTGCTGCGGGGCACCTTCATACCCCGCTGTCCCAAGTTTCACACATTAAACATGATACATCTCGACGAGATCTCAAACGGTTAAATTGATATTATTTCCCTGCATGAACTTTCCCGGTATTTGAAAATAAAATATGTAGAGTTTGGAGGTTCGAATGCTGTCAATTTTAGAGCAAATATTTAAACTATATTTGTGGAGCAAACACTTTATTATTCCTAATACAACAATCCCTTCAGATTGTACATGTACCTGTGCTTATGATACACCCGTGAAGGTCCGGGTTAGAATGAACCTTCAGTAACCCATGCATGTCGTAAGAGGCGACTAACGGGATTGGGTGGTCAGACTCGCTGGCTTGGTTGACACATGTCATCGGTTCCCAATTGCGCAGATCGATGCTAATGTTATTGATCACTGGATTGTCTGGTACAGTCTTGATTTTTTTACAGACCGCCGACATATAGCTGAGTGTGGCGTAAAACTAAACTCACTCACTCACTCACTTACTTTGTTTATGATCCAGGTGGTGGATGGTATTACTATTTGTTTCCTGTTGTAGTAGGTGTCACATCTAGTACAGTAACTGTCACCAGCACACAAACCTCAGCTGCGACAACTACCGGGGTACCGCTTTCAACAGCTACAACCGACAACACTGACCAAAGTAAAGTCATTCATTATTACAAAGTATTAAAATATTTTTTTTTTTTAAATCTTGATCCATTTCATTTCCTTTAAACAAATGTATGTGTCCTCTTAATTTCTTCATTTTTTTTTCATAAACCTATTGTAACAGTTCAAGGTCAAAGGATAAACATGATTTTCTCAATTTTTGAATTATATATTTCAGACGTTACTAAAGTCGTCCTTTACATCATCGTCGGGTGTTGTGTCTTGTTTATTGTGCTGATTGTATTCATCGTTGCAGCTATTGTGTTGATAAGGATCAAACGACAAGGTAACCTAATTTAATGTGTTCATAAAACCAGATTACTGTTTAGGTGAGTGAGTGAGTTGTGCTTTACGCCACTGTGAATCCAACGGGCATGTGTGCTGTCCTCTATACCCAGAAGCAGTCAGAACACTCATGCCTTCACTATCATCTATCAGGGTGGTTATCTCCCTTTGTCCAGGGTATGATTATTTGCTGGGGCCATTAACTGTTAGCTTCCCTTGTTAAGCGTCCACCATTGTCACCTGATCACTAGTCTTGTCACACATGTACTTATACAGGCATCTGCTTTGTAGTTTTCTTCATGTGGTGAAGGAGTAAAAATATACTCTGAATGCCGTGGCCCTCATATGACAGATGTTGACTTCAATAAATGTTCATCCTTTTCATGTATCACTTCTTATTGTCATTCAGAGACCCTTTAATATCAGCTTATAATCACTTTCATCCCTCTGACCTTGGTTTCGTTTGCAAAATAATGTCAAACATGAAACATTAAGGTCATCAGTCCTATTTTTCAGATTACTGGAACATAAGGTAAGGGTATTCTGTTTATTCACCAATCGTTCGAATCAGTCATATACTCTTACTTGTGGTCATTTTCACACGTAACAATGAAACATTCCACTGAGAACTTAAGACCTATCTTTTTGTCTGTGATCTGACAGGCTTCTGCAAACGCCTGTGAGCAAGCTAGACGGAACTCAGCACTTCACATTTAGATTATATTTACAGTCATATATGTATATGGTATACACGTAGCCTTCTCTAAGGCTTACTATATTTCACAGGTCACGAGGTTTGTACATCACACCAATGCAGAACATGCCAGAAAATATCGATAGTCAAGGCTATGCTGAAATCGACAATGCTGATTTACTTGAACGTGGCCCAGGCAACCTTGCGCAACCTATCGGTAATATCCAATCTGATGACAATATTCCACCTGGTGCAAGAATCCGGCGAGAAAGGCAACAGTTAGAACGTAGCTGTAGGAAGGTAGATGAGAATGACGAATATGAAGAGGTGAAACCACTGGAGACTATCAACAGTGAAGAACTTCCAGAATAGCAAGAAAAAAGAGCTCCAATGCAGCAACCTGACCAGGACAGTGTGGAAGACATTACGGGTGAAATGAACATAACATTTTCTGAAGCCTCCTCTCATTCAGATCCCGTGCTTTCTGTTGCTGATTGGTCGGTCCATGGAAGAGACTCTGGAAGTATGACAGCAGGGCGTATCGAAGCGCTTGCAGAGACAAGCTTCATGACTCAAGACACTGATGAACCATGGGATGCACCCCTCGGTACCGTTGATACTGAGAAGTTATCAGGTACTATAGAAATATTTCCCGAAGTCGGACGGATGACAGCAAACAATACAGGAGCACATCAGCTCTCGATGGAAGGAAGAGGGGATAATGCTGAAAGTGAAGCACGTGGTGTCACTAATATAACAACAGATAATTATGACAGTCGCACCGATCTTGTCACACGTACACAGCACCGGGTCATACAACGGATAAATAGTCCTCCAGCATCTGTTTCAAGTGCTGCATTAAACATGGAAAAGACAATTATTTTTTCTTGTACCACGCTATCTTGTGGAGAATCAAATGACGCTTGTTCTGAAATATTCAAATAAAACTTTAATATGTTCACTTGTACGATACCTTTGTTTTAACTCGAAGGAACCATGAACATATATATATTATCTTTTTTATTGTACATATTTCTGCAGTTTAGGCAACAAACATTATTAGTATTAGTGAATATATTGTCTCATACATCGAAACGCTTACTTTACACTTGTGTTGCATAGTGTGTTGTTTGTTTGTTTGTTTGTTGTTTAAGGTCGCACTCAGCAATATTTCAACCAAATGACGGCGATCTGTAAATAAACGAGCCTGGACCAGACAATCCAGTGATCAACAGCATGAGCATCGATCTACGCTTTTGGGATACGATGGATGTGTGAACAAGTCAGCGAATCTTATCATTCGATCCAGTTAGTCGTCAGTTCTCACCAGCATCATCACTGGTCTTATAGCTGGAGTATTGCCAAGTGCGGCATAAAACTAACCTCGCTCACTCACTCATGGGTCTTGAGATAAGACACAGATAGTTTAGGCCTTCGGTACCGAAATGTTTAGTCGTCAGCACTTGTCGTATATATTAGTTCCGTTCTGGGAGCTAATATTGTGGCGTACTTATAACACATTAACATGAAGAAATACGTGAGAAGGTATTTAATGTACACATGCTATTTGCATTTTATTGTACATAATTCAATTTTACTTCAATAAAAACTATGCATCATATTGTTTTTTGTTGTTGTGATTGGTGTAGTGATATGACGGCCTTCGGAGAGAACAAGAAGACGAGGAATATGTATTTAGTTAATCTATCTCCGTCTTGTCTGTTTGGTATTTTGCATATTTTTGCATATTTTCGCATCAAGTTCAACATAAATGCCATAGTTTATAGCTTTGTTCAACACCTACTACATAAACGGTATGACTATCCTGTTGGACCAGGAGAGCCTACTGAACATTTCTAGGCACTAAGTATAAGCTACGATTCATTCTGTCAAAATTGGGTACATATATGTCTTTGCCAGGACACAGATTGCAGTAGCCACATGTGACTTATATAATTACAAATGGACCTATATTTGCTGTATATGTACACATGCGTAGGGTTTAGACAAACACACACAGATAGTTTATGTGAGCCTCACCTCATATATACATTAAAGTACACGTAGAATAGGTAAAATATCACAATATAAGGACATGAAATTGAATATGTACAGAATACTTGAAAGGTAAAGCATAGGCATACAAAATTAAAACATAATGAATTTATACGATAACAAGTATACACTACTGATAGGAGTTTTAAGAA